GGGGGGTGTTTAACTCGAGAAGAGCAGGAAGTTACAAATAGAAGTTTGTTTCTTCTTACAAATTAAGACTCCAAAATGACTTTTTTCCCCAAAGTATTTACAGGATTAACTTTACTAAAATCACTTACATGTAGTAAAAGAAAGTTAAATAAAAGAAAATCAGTTATTGCAGTTAAGACAAGGTAAGGTCGTACCACTAGATGGCACCAAACACCGTCAAAAGAAGAATTCTAAAACCAATTCACTTTTACAGATTACAATAGAGACAATAGTCCAGAAAAGACCAAAACATTCACAAAAGAGACAGGTAAAAAAAAAAAATCTAATTTATTTTAAAACCGCTGAAAACACATTGGTAAAAGCTGAAAATTCCTGAGGAAGTCCCAAAACATATATACAGTTAATCAATGTGTATGGAAAAAATATATCAACAGCAAAATTCAGTCATTGTTCTGCTGGTGAGATTTCATACATACATTCATAATTAAAAACACAAGAACTGTGTTGAAAAAACAGTAAATACAGTACAAAAAGGCACAAGGACACATTGAAAGGTGCAAAAGTTGCTCTCATGTACTAGCTACATATCACTTTCCTTGTTGCTATGCCTCGTGTTCACCATTAGACATAAAAAAAATTGAAGTGACCTCGGCATAACAAACAAAAACACAGCAGACTTTCTGCTCATAGTCGCCTAACGTTTCGCTTGCTCTGTGCGCTTCCAGGCAGAAGTATGTCCTTTTTGCGTCGGCCCACAGACTGGCTGCCACACTCTCTAGAGCCGTGGAAAGCACACAAGCAGGCTGCGCAAAAGCGGAAATCACAGTCGGCTCTGCTGCACACGCCCTCCTGTTTCACTGAGTGACACCTCGCCGGATGCTGACATCGAGGGCATGGCTTGAGGCACTCATCGTTGAAGAGGGTCTGGGCAACCTGGCAAAGAAAATTGAAATGACTTAAAATACAAGTTTTATATAAACTCTGCCAGAGAAGTTCCTTCAGTAAGATCAATTAGATCCCCAATCATCCTCCACTAAACAGCAATTAATGCAAACTAATATATAATATATCCATATATTACATATAAACTATTTAACCAAATCCAGTGTAATCAGTTTCAAACTCACTTCCAGAAATTTATCTCGTTTGCTGCTGCTGCCTGATTTCAAGGCGCTGTGCTGTGATGGGGTTAAAGTGCTGTTTCCTGACTGTGGGGTGCAGAAGCTGGACGTCCTAGACTGGGCCTGAACCGTCTTGAGGGCCGACCTCTTGGGCAGAGCGAGTCTAGTCTCTGCGTCAGGGACATGGACGGCACCACCGAGCTGTAAGACATCACCACAAACTTAACTCATTTCAACTTTTAGCCGCTGTTGGTTGATATCCATATTGACAATTCAAATGTTACTTTACACTGAATCACAGAGAGAAATCTGCAGTTGTACTGGTCTCTAAAATATACTTTTTACAAGGCTGACCATCAGTACCATAGCCAATGTTTTTAGAAAATACCCGTTTGAGAAAGACAACAGAAACCACAGAACCGTGAGTAACGCCCAGATATTGATATCAGACCCATTTGATATTGGCCAGTCATCAGCAATAGTGGCTAATATGGCAGACCTCTTACCTCAAGAGCAGCCTCCACTTCACTCAGGTAGTTTCTTCTCTTAAAACTAGCTCGCTTATCTTGTTGGATGATTTCATTCCATCTCTTGCACACCTGACCACACCTGCCCAACACAAACAATTGCATGCATGAGACCAATATTCCCAGCCCTCATTGCACATTAAATAAAGGTTGTGTAAATGAATGTCTGTAAATGAATGCTTTTTGAATAACAATCAGGCTTTAAGTTAATTTAAAGTACAAAAAGGGTCCTGTACTTTGATCTAAGCTCAGTATCCATGATATGCTGTATGAATTCTACAGGATTTTGTAGTTATATGAATGCATGTATGCATGCATTCATATACTAATCTATAACTTAAATGCTGCCACCACAAGTCATCATAATCAGTTTAATGAATGACAAACTGGGAATTAAACGGCTTAACCTTTGAGAAGAAAACAGGAATACAGTAGATGCATCAAAAATATTAAAGCTAACACGATTTTACTTTGTATATGACTATGACAGCTAAATGCGTTACAAACATGAACTCCTTACATGTAGATGCTCTCAGAGGTCAGGCGGCTGAAGATGACAGACAGGATGTGCCTGAGGTTCCTCTTCCTCAGCTCTGTGAGTATGTCCACCTTCCTCAGGCCCATCTTCCTGCCGATCAGCCCTGCCAGCGGCATGGTGGTCCTGAACGTCACAGGGGTCTCAGCCAGCGCTGCGGTGGACTTCAGCTGCTCCTTTAGGCTTGGACTTTGGCCAACAGACATGTGGGCTTTCAGTTGGCATATAGCATGTATCAGCTGTAGAGCTGGAGTCAGAGAGAGATTGACGGGGGTTGTCCAGAGAGGAGTCACATCCGGATTAACAGGAGCTGCGTTAAGGGGCGTCATGTATTCTGGCCTGGCTGTAGTTGATCTTAGTGAGGTAGCATCGTCTTGTCTCGCAGAGGCCAAACTATCAGATGTCATGCTATTACTACATTTAGTAGAAAGGGCACTGCGAGGGGTGGCACTGCGATCAAAAACCTCATCTTCTGTCAAAAGGCTGTGGCTTTGACGAACATGTCCGTGCTTTCTCTCTGCTGGGTCTTCCTCGGACTGAGAGCCTCCTTCTTTAAGCGTTGAAAGCTTATGTTGGCGCTGCAAATGGGAGCGCCGCTTTGCCTCTGTGAGATTTGGGGTTTCACAGTTTCTGGAGGCTGAGAGGAGCAGCTCCAGGAATGAGCCATCATGGTCCACTGAGGAGTCTTGGGATTTATCAAGGGCCAAGGAACTAAAACCACTGTCTTCACACTCAGACCTGTTCCAGGGTTAGAAGAACAACATGTTTTGAGAGATAGATAGATATAACATTTCTTTAGTCAGCAGGGAAAATGAACCAAATTTAGAAAGTGTCAAAAAAAAGCATGTACCTGATATATTTGGGTGTGTGTGAGGATGATGGTGTGTACAAGACACTTGAGCTGTCATACTGGTTATTCGTCACACCACTGACTGGTGATTGAGAGGTTTCCTGAGATGGAGCAGGCAGGGATTTGATAAAGCATGGAGTCTCAATATCAATTTGATCAGAGGCAGAAATGCTCTCGTTGTAAACTGCATCAGAGAAAGACGCTCTTCTCTCGAAACTGGGAAGGAAGCCAGAGTGTAGTTTGCCATCTTCAAGAGTCGAGGTCCTCATCTGCGTGAAGAGGAGGCGGCGTTTCCTACCAGATAGCTGCAGGTCCTGCTCCAATTTTAAAGCTTCTAGAGAGTCAAACGATGCATTGAGCCAGTGTTCAGACCTGACACTGATGGAAGATTCAGTCCTTCTGGCGCATGGTGATCTTGTGTCGTCAGCTTTGACATCTGTGGCGGGTTTGCACATGAGAAGTCTGTGTCGCAGCGGGGCATCTCTTTTGTACACTTTAGGAGTTTCACACCAGCTGACCCCTTGAGGCCGCTGGATACCTCTGTGGTCTTTGCCCAAATATACAACCGGTTCTCTGGTCCTCTCCTTGGGTGTGATAGAAAGCCAGATGTTCTCTTTAGGCGTTTCACTGAATTCTACTGGAGACAAAGAGCGACAGGAGTCCACTCCACAGATGCTCTGTGGGCTGTGGAATAAACCCGAGTATCCGCTGTCAGAGCAGTCATAACAGTGCTGGCCTTTGCAGCTCTCAAGGTAGACGTTTGATTCAGGAGTGCACTGCATTTTTGTGTGCACTGTGTCCAATACACCGTATTCCCCAAGTAGATGTCAACTGACCTGCACACAACAAAAAAGTAGTGAGTGAACCCAAAGACAACTGAGCAGCATTAAACTGTGCCTGTCTGGTAACTGACTAGTTTATTAAAGCTAGCTGACACGTTGCCTGTGTTTGCAAGGTCTTACCGTGTTTTAATTAGATGTTGTCATGTTGGACTCACATTGTGATAACAGATGAGTGATTTTAAAAAAAATACGTCGAAAGTATCCATGTCGTGTTCAGCGTTTACACTCTATGTTTATTAAACACAAATTGTCAAAGACTGTCAGCTAGTTCAACACCAAACATTCGCAGCTGTTTCACCAGCGTTGCTACGCGAGGGCGTGTTTTAGATTTAAATCCCCCGTCGCGTGCTCTCTGTGATGCCGCTATAAAGTGAGCTGTAGCCGCCAAAACCAACAGCTGAGCCCGACTGGCTGTACACCGCCGATAGCTCAGACAAGGGTCAAGAGTGGAGTGTGCCACATTATTTCCTCTTACTTTAACATCTGATAACGTCCAATAAATAGCGGTTGGTAATTGCACTCGTTCTGCGTGCCCTGACCAGAGGACAAAAAAATAAACAAGGCTACCTTGCACAAAGAGAATGCATTTGTTAAAATACACTTGAAAATGGATGCATAATTCTGAGTTAATAGCATTCAAGGCTAAACTTAGAAAAATCTTAATCTTACATAAAAACGAAACGTGTTATGACTCCCTCAAGTTCCAGACATCTGTTAGAGCAATTAGCATGACGTGAAAACACCCGTCAATTAACTGTAAGTTAACTCATGCATAGGGGATTGATATACCGCAAATGTTGTATCGTTACATTTGTCTGTATAATGTCGACCACGTTGATAATGTTACAAACTCAACATACGTATAAACACACAATATCAAAGAGCCATTAGGTTCGTTCTTAATTAATTCAATCTACCCGTCCAAATAAATTACCCGTTTATCCTTGCTGGTAAATAATGTTAAGTTACACCCAGTAATGTGAACACTAACTTACATTCAACATTGTGTGACAAACTGACAAGTTATAACTAACTAGCTACGTTAGCCTCCTAAAACCACAACCACTGCTAGGTAACGTTAGTGGCTTCTCAGACACACGACGCTAACTAGCTAGATAGTCGTGTATTGCATTATTTAGCATTACACAAAAATGCTTACCTATTCACAAAACGTGGCTAATGCACAGGTCGTTTTCCTCCGGCTCAGTTCTAGGCCTCAGCTTGTGCCCCTCGTCGCTGTTTGCTTGCTACATGTTCATCACCTACCAGCCGCATTTTCAAATTTGGAGCCAACTATGGACTGTGTCACGTGTTTCCGCTTCGGAGTGCAACTTCCTTCCGCGTGTGGTTACCATAGTAACAGTCGAAAGTTTAGTCAAAGTGGCCAAACAAGCAGCAGGTAAAGCTATTCATTTAGCTTTAATAGCATTAAGATAAGTTAACATTACGTTTATAATATACGAGGAACACCGACATTTTCTTAATGAAAGTGTTGTCTTGATTTGTCGGTAATTCCAAAAATTGGAATAACACGTTATTTCATCACATGTTGCAGTAGAGCTTTAGCTCAACGCTATCTAAATGTACTGAGCTAACATAGCCTAGGTTCATTTTGCGTTAGCTAACTTCAGTGAAGCAGTCTGCTTTAAACAAAACCACCTTGTTTGACAGAATAACTGAGTAACGTTAAACGGATGACGTTATTCTCCTCAGGTATGAGCGAAGATGAGACTTTCTATCGAAACCAGTCCGCCGCCGCTGACTACGGCGGAAACGTCCCCGTGGAGCACCTGGACTATGGCTACATTGAAAAATGCAAAGACGTAAAATACCTGGAGATGATCTGGAGAGTACTTAAGTAAGAGTCACATAATTGAGCTTTAGGGTGTGAAGAAGATAGAAATTGATTTTGTATGTTAATCAAATATTCTATTTTATATTGCTGGTGAGCTTTTCTCCACTAGGATCATTCTTAGTGGAGAGAAAATGAACATACAGTATTGTAAATAGATTACATAGGCCTAGCACCAACACAAAAAGAGCACAGCGTGACACAATAACATTTAGCTAGGAATTTAGGTTTTCAGAAAATAACGTTATACTTTGTGTTCAGGTCCGGCGACGAGGGCATTTATCCTCATCTGATTGAGTTCTGTGAGAGTCACTTGGAGAAACTGGACCCCAGGAGCCGGGCTCTCAGGAAGGAAACCCCTGTGGCCACAGCAGCCAGCCTCTCCAATGATGAGTGGAGCCAAATTGTTGAAGAGTTGAAGGCATGCAACACATCTGAGATTTACTTCTTTTTTTGAAATCATTCCTGATTAATGAGTCATTTTGATATCAAATACTTTGTTACTTACAGACGTGGCAAGAAGAAACCAAAAAGACGGAGACTTCACTAAAACAGCAGTCAGTGTTTGATGATTTACACAATATAAATATACCACCTATAAGAGGTTCCAATTGCTCCGTTCCTCTTAGTCAGGTAAAAAGGGTCTCCAATGATGTAACATGCACATTTATGCACACTAGGAAAATACTCAAATTGAGTCTTATGTCACCACAGACTTCAGTTCCAAAAGAAAAGAGGAATTCTTCAAAATGCAGTCTCCCACGAGATTATCGAGAATGGGACAAGTGAGTCATTTTGTCTCTATATTTGTCTTCTACATCCAGAAGAAAAAACACACTGTTACAGCAGCTGCAGGCTCTGTTCCTAAAAGCTTCCATGCATTTCACTTTGTAAAGAAATGCCTTAGCTCAGCATCTTTCATTCCAAATGATCCACAGTTAAACAGGTTATGCTGCTCTAGAGCAGCAGAGGATCTTCCTTTACCCAAATATCTTTTGCTCTATTCCCAGGTTCGATGCCGAAAAAGAATGTGAAAGAATCGACGGGAATTTGGTCAAAAAGGATCCAGCTGTCATGATAAAAACAGGACACCCCAAAATCAAGACTAAAGTGGATGCTACAAGTAATGTATTATGTGTAGCAGCTCATAGCTCATAGCAATACTTAAGTAGTGTGTGTTTGTGTCTCAAATGTGTCGTCTCTACAATACATCCAGTGCTGACAGAACAGGAGAAGCTTCCTCTGGCAAATCGCGAAAAGGACAAAGGCAATGAAGCTTTCAGAGCAAAGGATTATGAGGAGGCTGTTGCATACTATTCCAGGTCAGGCTCTTAAAACAACTCAATTAATATAGCGAGCATTCCACAGCTCCTAAGGGGATTATAATATGTTTCCTGGTATTTAATTAGACTTCTTTAATGATTTAAGTCTGATTCCATTCCCATTTACCGTGCCTCTAAGTGTGTGTTCATTATCCTCATTATGAATTAAGGTTTGTTTTTGGCCTTCCATTACAGGAGCCTTTCCATTAAACCAACTGTGGCTGCGTACAATAACAGAGCTCAGGCAGAGATCAAGCTCAAGCACTGGCACAATGCCATGAGCGACTGTCTGAGGGTCCTCGAGCTGGAACCAGGCAATGTGAAAGGTGAAGCCCCTTTTTTTGTACAGTAGTGCTTTAATGTCAACAGAAATGTGACTGTAATGCAAGCATCGAATTAATGTTTCCCACTCCCTCAAAAGTATTTTTGTGAATTTTCTGTATGTTTTCTGATACTACATTCACAACTTTACAGCACAGGAGTTAACAGTGGCTTCAGTGTCTGTAACGTCAATACTGTACGTGATGTATTTTTCCCCACCAGCCCTGCTACGTCGTGCCACTGTTTATAACCACATGGGCAACTTCCGAATGGCTGCTGAGGACCTGAGAGTGGTGCTGAGGGAAGAGCCACAGAATGCTGCAGCCACTGTAGGTGAAATAATGCCTCTAGCCCTTTTTGACCACTAGGTGTCACTGTATTTGTGTGCGATCAGGCACTTAAAAACAGCTTGCAGCTGCTGCAAGGTATTAATATAATCACACCTAGTCTCATATAACTGTAATCAGACAGTGGTGTAGCTTTTACTCTTATTTTGAGGCAGATGATGAGCTCAGGGTGCATTTTATTTAGTCGTCACTCATGGAGACACTGTTGATATGCCCATTAATTATGTATTAGTGGTTTTAATGTACTGTAGGTGAATAGGGAGAAGATGATCCTTACATGATCCGACATTGCAACACAAGAAATTCTCTATAGCTGAGAGGTAGATGGGTGATTGTGGTGTCGGTATGCGGCACCTTTGCTGACTTACTGAACAGAACTTGGGTTCCTACTGTTGACAAATTCTAATTTGTGAATTATTTGTGGTTTAGCAACTTCTGTCTGAAACTGAGAAGAAGATGAAGGAATGTCAACCTGAGCTGCAACGCAAAGGCAAGAAGATCCTCATTCAAGAAGTAGAAGAGGAAGATGATGACTGCAATAACGATGAGACAAAAGCAGAGCAGACCGGTGAGATTATTTGGACCTCCATATTCCAAATTTATGTATCCTTGATTTACACACAGAGACAGAAGCCAGTGACCGTTTAAATTCCCTGAATCCCTCCAGAAATCTGTTTGTGTTGTATTTTCAGCTATATTTAACACTATTTAACATCATGGACAGTTTAATTAGATTTTAAGAGCTTTTTAAATCAGCATCCGTTATGTGTCATGTATAAAGCAGCATTCTGCAGAATATTATTGTATTAAGGCTGTGCATAAACAAACAACCCCTTATTCACAATGTATTACTACTGATCTAAAATGTATAAATAAACTACCAACCATATACCTAGTGCAGTAGATCTATAGCTCTATGGTGGATCACATTTGCTTAATTTCACAGTAGAGGCTGACCAATGATACTCTTAAAAACCAATAAGTCAAATATCATTTTTTTATTTAGTTTACGAGCAGTGTCGTAATTACCTAGTTTTTTCCACCAAAGTGAACTTTCCAAATGTTAAATGTCCTGCTCAGAACATTTTACAGAAGGTGTGACTCTGACAATTATTCATGAGCTCAGAACATGTGTTATTCATATTATTTAATAACCAAATTAAGTAATTAAAATGATCAAATTACTTAATTTCATCAAAAAGTTATGGGAAAAACAAGATAAACTGTAGGCTCTCAAATACCCCATCAACAATTCCATAATGGCTGCCCTACTTCTTAGAAATCAGAACTCGGCATTGAAATTTGAATGTATAAAGACTTGCTGAATACTGTGTGTACTGTCCATATCCAGTATTTTGTGAAGTATTCTATATTTTTACACTAGACTGTAGTGTATCTGTATATGTGTGCCCACTTAGTCCTCACTGTAGCTGCCTGGCGAAGGATTTGCCCTCTAATCCTGTGATTTAAACAAAACGTCTGACCTGAGGAATCTGTAGCAACTCTCATAATAGTAGGGCAGTCATTTTCATCCCAAACCCTTCTGTTTGTCTGTGCTATATAGAAAGAAGAAACACCCCTTGGCCATCAGGGTAACGTGACATAATGTCTATGCATGTGTGTTATCTGCCCTACCCCCACCCAGCGCTTTCAGAATTCACTGTTGAGAGTGGCTGCTTCCTGGAACTCCCTCTTTGAAGTGGCTCTATGTCATGTGTGTCCAACCCTCCCCCACTGTGATGTAACCGCTGACTCCTTCCTGTGGGTGTGTTTCCCCCTCTTCTCTGCCTCTGCCTCTCCCTCCCCTCCCTCTCCCTTCTAGCTCATCCGGTTGAACCCAGCCAGGCTGTGGGAGGGGAGGAGAGCTCAGCTGCTCCTGGCGAACGGGGAGACATGGGTAACGCTCAAAAGAAGCCCCACGGCAGAGGTGACGGGGGTCCTCACAGCGAGTTCAACAGCTCCCACCATGGACACTGGAGGAGCAAAGGAGCCAGCTCTGACAAGTACAAAGTCCCGCAGGAGCCAAAGGAAAAGGCAGCCAATGGAACGAGCAAGAGGGGCTCGACAGCTTCAGTCCCGGCTGATCAGAGCAGCGGCGGTAGAGAAACTCCGGTGGGAGGAAATGCAGGGGAATCTGTCAACCTTGATGCCCCGTGCGGAGCCCTGCCCCCACCTCTGGCCCGGCTAAAGAATGAAGGGAACCTGCTGTTTAAAAACGGACAATTTGCCGATGCACAGGAGAAATACTCACAAGCCATTCAGGGCTACACAGAATCAGGTATGGTGGACGAGTCCTCATGGTTGCTGCTGTTCTTGTTACTAGAGTCCAAGGTGGTTGGCAGATCAGTCACATGGTGGGTACAATTTAGTTTGGTGTATATTATTAAATTGGAGGGAAGTTTATTCTGTTCCTCCATGACAGGATCACTTCCACTGACAGCAGTGTGTTATAAACAACTGCTCCATAGCTCAACGGGTTGATGTTTCATCACCAGTCTCACCCATATATGAATGCATATTTCTGTATGGGGTGTAATCTCCAATGCTCCTATAACTGGCCGATGCCATCGTAAATCAAAGGTCATGACCTTGCAATTATAAGGCTTGTGCATCCATTTAGTTATTGTTGCTTTATCCCAGTGCAGGATATATTTATTTATATATATATATATATATATAGAGAGAGAGAGATTTTACAGTTCAGGAGTCAAAAGGTCGGGCCGTTTGTTTGTGTGTTCAGTGATTTTGCACCGATGCGTCAAAATGTGTCTGTCCCGTGTGGCGAATACGGACAGTGTTTCTGTTTCAGCCTCATTCTGGTGCTAAGCCTCTCAGCTCAGGTCTGTCCAGGTCACATGAGCGCTAACCACTCTCTGTGAAATTGAATCTGTACGACCGCAAGCTATAATTCTCACAGAGAGAGAGGGAGAAAGTCAGAGATTGATGGAGGAAGAGAAACTGCCGCCCGTCAGGCTCACCCACCATCGAGCATACTCTCTCCATCTATTTGTGGGCCGCTATAATGTACTCCACTAGCCCCACTGTGCTGCTGGATGTGGAAAGTGACTGGACATGGTCCAAGGTCCGTCATCCGTCCCATGTGGGCTACATGTAATGCAGACAGAATAGAGCTGAGAGCAGAGATAAGGATAGATTCTATGAACCCCTTTAAACATGTGGTGGTCTGACAAAAAGGGACATAACTCAATAATATATACATTCAATCGGTCTTTTACAGGGTCTCTGAGCTGGTTTAGGTTGGTAAACAGATGCCCCATTTTGTACCTCTATCATACTAACGTCCATGCTTCACTGTCACAGTAACCTCACAGAGGGAGCAGTCGCTGGGACATCACCAGCCCTGCCTCACGTGTCATCATTCATAATCTGATTTCATCTGATGAGGTGGCACGCTAAGCTGACCGTATTTAGTGACGCAGAAGGATGCTGCTCTTGTCACAGTATAAGCGTGATTTGCCTGCGTCAGTGATAGTGATGGTGAAAACTGGAGAGAGTAGCGAAAAACACTGTGTGCAGTCTGTGTGAGCAAGTGTGAGGAGAAGAACGTCCTGAAAGGTGTTTGATGAGCTTTTCCTCTTCACCTTGTCAGCCCTGGAGCTTATTGTGCTACTGCGGTAAAACAGCCGGTGTATTAGGATATATTAGGCCTGCTGCCTGTTTAACGTCCCAACAAAGAGTTTTTGTTACATCCAGCCTCACACCTCAGATTACAAGCGTGGCTAGAAACATGCAAGTTACTCAAACAAGAAGAACATGTGAAGACATAGAATTGTTGCCACATAAATGTGTGTGTGTGTGTGTGTGTGTGTGTGTGTGTGTGTGTGTGTGTGT